AGTTAAACAAGTCTTATTTTCCTTGTAGTCAGAGCAGGAGTTGCCGCAGTGATTACCGCAGCCAGAGGTTGCATTGTTGTCGCCACCGCAACTAGCTGCAAGTGAAGTAATATAAAAAAATTAAGTATACAGTTACTAATTTTGCCTCTTGATTGTGTGAATCAACGATAAGAATAATTAAGGGAACACCGTTCAATTATTTTGATTTATTTGACGACCTCTGTGGTCAAGTGGCTCACACACCAGTTTTCATGTTGTTGCCATCTCTAAAGTTCCGGATTTGATTCCCAGGTGAATGTAGAAAAACTAACTTTTCTATATATTGTATCGTCGTTTTTTCCGATTTCCAATTTACCATGCTACACGGAGGTCGCAGGTTCGATTCCCGGGCCAGGAATAATAATTTATGGCTATCCATGTTGTGTCCATGGCAGGGTTTCCCTAATGCGGAGTTATGTTGAGTGTGTGCGTTATATTTTTATTATTTATTGACTGATTTCAAAAAGGAGGAAGGAGGTTGTCAATTCCTTTGTATTTTTTGTATGTACTCTTTTTTTTTTTGTTGGAAATTTGTGAACTGATTTTGATGATTTTTTTTGTTGGAAAGAGGGTACCGCAGTATTGATCCCATTTAAATTTAAAGAAAATATTCTACCTCTAAGGGCGGCAAACTAGGGGATGAATCCGGTTTTGCACATTTTCGGGTAACCGATTTCAATGAACCTTGGCAAATAGATATTATTATAAATATATATTATTAATAGGTAATAGCAATTCCACGAACTTTTGAGGTCGGTTTTTAGTATTCTCTACTGAGATTATTTTACATTTGGTCGATTGGATATCCAAATGAAGATAGCAACTTTTGAAGTCTTTGAAAAATGCAATATTCAATCACTTTTTCTTTATGTCTAAAGCCGTGAGACGTCGCGTAGATAAAATTATATATTGTGATTTATTTAAAATTTTATCCTTCTATATCGATATTTTCCTCTTTGATGCACATCATCGCTATTCTTAACTGTTGATAACAAATTAAGGATAAAATTCGCAAACGGAACCGGTAGATTGTATTGCAGGAAATCCAAAGTATTCTACTAAAATCAAATATTCTTAAATAAATTATCAATTAAAAATTCCAGTCAAAGTCAACGGTCTGTTTTTTTGTAGATAGGTTTATAAAAGTATACATACATACATAGTATACATTTCTGTAGGACGTTACAGTGCTTAGTTAATATTATAATAAAAAAATTAAAATAATACTAATTTGGTATACAAGTGTCATGACCTTCAGTATTTAAAGTAATAATAAATAGCAGTGTTAAGGCTTTTATTAGGTAACATAATAATCTATGTAGTTTATGTAAGATGCCGCTAGATGGCGTTGAACAACTTTTATGGATTTTCTAAAAAGCTCTATTAAATTGTTAACAAAAATTGTACTATTTAGTAATTTACAATATACGATCTTCCATTGTCCGACGGTGCCACAGTCAAGACCATCAGCAATCAAATGCGAAATGTCGGCCACGAAGACAGTTAATTAAGACTTATAAGTAAATTGTAAATTTTATGTATATATACCAAAGGTTTCGCTGTAGGCATTTACGGTTCTGCTTCGTTTAAAATAAATTTACCGCTTGAGTGCACGAACGGAGCCTCCCCGATCGACGTACCATTCCTTTTCAATACTTTACGCCGATTGGCAAGGTCTTTCACCACGATGGCAATTATTATAGTTATAGCCATGGATACGATAAGAAGAAAACCGATTGAGTAAGATATTACGGCGGTAGTACGCAACTAATTTCAAGGTCATAAATTAAGATTAATAGCGCATTGTGTATTAAGGGCTGTAAATAAGAAATTATTAACGAGAATTTGTCAGAAACCCGAAGCCGAAGGCTGATGGGCTTAATGATTCGAGGATTGTATTTTTTACCGCCATATAATGATGAAAAACATTGTATTTTGTAATTGTATTGTATCATAAAAATTACGTGCTACATACAATGTTGTTCATAATTACAGCAATAATGTGAGGGTTACTGCATTCCGGCTTAGAAGGATAAGGGTGTTGGTGAAATTACAGGCATATGGGACTTGTTAACATATATCTCAGGGTGACGGGCGTAATGGCAGTGCCCCTAAAATCTTTGCGATTTAAAGCTCTCAGGGGCACTGCAAATGTTATGGATAGGCGTGTCGCTTACCACCAGGCGCACGACTTCCAAACCGAAACGCAGTAATGCTCATATTACTTCTTGGCGGCAGAAATAGGAAAGGTGGCAGTACTTTCCTGAACGAACTCTTTCACAAGGAGCTCTACTGCTACTATAAGTAACTAGGCTACTTATAATAATAATAATAATAATAACGCACACACTCAACATATATACGCACTAGAGAATCCCTGTGTCGCGGGTGCCATGGACACACACATACACAACCACAAATTACACCCAAACTCACGAGAGAAATAATTGTAGGCCATACAACTATTTCTCCCGGCCCGGGAATCGAACCTGGGACCTCTGCGTGGCAGTCCGGCATGGTAACCGTTCGGCCACTGAGGCAGTTCTTATAGATACGTATTAAATTATGTTATATTATATTCTACAACTTACAACATTCTTTCTTTGGTATACAAGTCCGATTAACATCTCTCACATGACCGTCAATACAGACGCAATGTGGATTGCAAAGTGCAGTGGCGCCTCCACACGGTATTGGTTTACCCAGATCCTCACATGTTTTAGGTCCACAATGGACACATTCTACGAACATCTCGTTATGTTTGCATGTGGAACGTTTCACTTTAACCACTGTGGAACATTGCAAGTAAGGTAATTAAGAGTCTTAAACAGTTAAATATTATAGACTTGGGTCTCTACTAAATGGTCATATTTTGGGACAAACTCAGACGCAGATTAAGAGTTTATAACTACTTACGGCCACGCTTCAGCACAGCTTTTATAGTAAATGAATTTTTTTATGACATAAGTGACGGGACGAGCAGGTAAGTGACACGCCTGTCCAAAACAGTTGCACTCAGAGCTTTAAATCACAAAGATTTGAGAGTAACTGCCTCTTCGTCAATCACCTGAGACATGAGTTGAAAAGTTCCATGTGACATTACAATGTCACCACCACTCTTAACTTTCAAAACCGGAATGCAGTAATGCTCACATTACTGCTTGGTGACAGTAATAGCTAAGGTGGCAATACTTTTTAGACAAACTCTTTCACAAGGATCCTTACTGCTTCTAAAATTGTGTTTTTTATAGGACTAGGGAATTCAACCCTAAGTAGATCATCACTTACTCAACTTCAATTATTATCTACTTCAACTATAAAGATAATGTCGTTGTATCAAAGTTGATGTAATGCATATTTTCGTATCATGCACCAAGTGTGGTAGACTTGATAGAGAACTTAATGCTATTAGTAGCCCAAAAGCAGTGCTTTGTATCTCATACGATAACTTGCAAAGGATTAATCATTGCGCAAGCGCATTGTAAGAGATACACTAAGAAACCCCACGCTTCAGTGTCAAAGGTGCAGTGCTATAGGGTTGCTGATAAGTGGCGTTCAACCCTATTATTATCAAGAATTGTCTATGAAACTGTACTCACCTTCACTATTTATGAATAAAATCCAAAATGTTGCAATCAAAGCAATCACTATACACTTAGCCATATTTGGTTTAACAAATTAATAAATAATGAGAAAAAGATTTCATAAACGTCTACTTTTGACTAAGGTAAATCTTGACTAGCAAATCTGCAACATCTTAACTAACTAATCCAGTATTTTCCTCTTTCCTTTTGGATGAGTGTTCATTGATTCATTAATTTAATTAGTTTTCCTTGATTCTTCGGACAAATGACGTCAGAATGACGTGACCAAGGTTAAATGTAAGGTACACTATGAACCTGTTCATTGACCTGACTATGAAATTGATTTCTCTTGGTTGGAAGATAGATATTGGATTTTTGTTTTGTTTATGTTAGTGTCTATGCTGCGTCATAGAATCGCTTCTTAGTTCAAACTGCCTCAGTGGCCGAACGGTTACCATGCCGGACTGCCACGCAGAGGCCCCAGATTCGATTCCCGGGTCGGGAGAAATATTTGTATGGCCTACATTTATATCTCTCGTGAGTTTGGGTGTAATTTGTAGTTGTCTATGTGTGTGTCCATTTCCCTAGTGCGGGGCTATGTTGAGTGTGTGCGTTATTATTATTAGTGAGCTGTAATTACTAATGCTATTGGTACCTTTCTACTAACTATTTCTCATGGTACAAAGGTTTTGAAGGGGTAAAAAAATAAAAATCACAGGAGTGCTGATAGAAGAAGTAAACAATATATTTATATGTCATCCTCTTTTCTATGTGATCGTCAAATATACCAACTGGTATATTTATGGCCTAAAGGTAAACACTGTCGATGCTAGATGCGGAGGTCCGGGGTTCGATTCCCAGTAGGATCGATTTGGGATATAAACTTTTCTAAATTTTGTTCTAGTGTAGGTGTTCTGGGAAGTGCCTCAGAGTACTCATAGTACATAGCACTGGTACTTATAGTACAGGGAATTCCTTAGTTTAAGACCAGGCAACTAGTGTAGTTATCTAACACATTATTATTAAAAAAAAGTATTGAAGTGGTAGTATAAAAGGATGCGATATGTAGATGATGAAAGGAGAAGGTGGAAACTGAGTAAGAGGAGTATCAAAAGAAAATAAAATTCTTATTTAAAACAGCACATTTAATACGGGATTACCGACACAAGATAGACATAAATAAATAATCTCGTGACATACATAGAAAACAAATACGATCGGAATGAAAACCTCCTCCCTATTTAAAGTCGGTTTTAATAAATCAAAAATTGTCTCATTTTGACCGAAGACCTATTTTATACATTATTGGGAATTATCCACGCCAACTTTTAACTCAAACTAACTGAAATGAACTCTTCGTTTACAACGTTGAGTAAACTCAATAAAAAAGGCTCGTAACTTTATTCAACATTTTATTTACCATAGTTAACTAGTCACAACCATGACTGAATAAATCGTATTAGTATTTACAAAGGCGACAAGAACAAAATGCCCTAACCACACTCGCAAGCAGGTACGCACGTCTGATTCGCATTTCTGTAGTAACCCTTTTCGCAAACGCATCTTGGATCGCAATATCCTTCGGATTCGTAACATTGAGATTGTGTTTTGTTGCGATCTTCGCAAGTGTCTGAGAAACAAAGAGGTGGACAGGAGTTCCACTCTTCGTTTGGTCTAGTGCAGGTTACTGGAGCTAGAACAAATATATTCAATCAGCCTTTTTATAACAACATGCATTTTAAATAAATAATTATTTATTATACAAGAAAACACAAATTACATTTAGTAAAACGGAAAACAAAAACAAAAGGTAGGTATTGCTTATTTCTAAAAGAAATTTCTTACTGCAGATCAAAATACAGTACACAATAATTACAATAACGGGTTTTTATGATTTGGACGTATCCAAATCATAAAAAAAACAGAACAGAAATATTAAGTTACTACAGACTATATAAATAGGTATATATATATATATATATATATATATATAAAATGGATGGCACTGAGGATAAATAGTGATCCTTGACTCTCATTTTAAAGATAGCTAAGGATTGACTATCTTGTAAAAGTCTGACCGCATGAACATTAAGGAGTATTTTAGTTTTGGTTAATTAATATTACTTAATTATTAAGACACGAACACAAAGAAAACATTCCTACGATTTGGCTAGACTCGAACCAGCGCCTTTGCCATATCGTAGCTTACGCTCTCACAACTGAGCTACGAAATGAACCAGCAGAGCCTACGAATTTCTCTATTTACTTGCTGTAATGTAAATACCACTGCGTGGCAATGTAAATACCATGCTACATAGTGTTATTTACATAATCTAGCAAATCTACCAATTTCTAGATTCTTTATCATCAATTCGTAGAATTTTGGTTCAAATGTACTATAGATTTTAAATATAATGTTCCCTTTATGTCTTTAAATAAAGGAAACCCGATTTCTGTATGATCCTGACCACAAAAGCAACATTTTTGCGTGACCGTCACAGGATGGCTGGTCGCCTGTGGCATCTGGCACCGAGTGTATTTCAAGAATTGCTACCTATTTGCTACTATTTGCTACCTTTTCTAAATAATTGCTACCTATGATATATTCTGAGAAATTAAAAAAAAATTTGACCAGCCATTCTGACGTCAGGATGGCTGGTCGCCTCTTTGTTCAGCATGAAGGGAGCAGATTTTCCATAAGTATGTATTACCAATAATTGCTATCTATTTGCTACCTTCACGAATTAAATGTATACGCTTCATATCTACATTAGCTAAAAAAATATAACCGATTGAAAATTTTACGAAAAAGTGCCTAACTAAACTAAGAAAGGAAAAGTTCTTTATTGCCACAATATAAAGGGCAGGCGTTTAACAATTACTTCGAGATGAATTGGTCTGGTGAGGCTGCTGATGTATAAAACCGAGAGGGTAGGTTCCTGACGGTCACCATTTTTGCAGGGAAATAAAGTTTTTTCATGTTTTTATATTCGAACCAATTAGAAAATTATATTGGTAACCCAAAAACAAAAATCGTGTGAAATAGTACTTACGACAATCCCGGGTCAAGACGCAAGTATCATCTTGACAGCTCTTATAACGATAGCCATCTTTGCAACCACACCCTGAAGGACAGCCGCGAGGAGGTTTGCAGGCATATTTGACGAGATCATCGTTTTCTGGGCAGAAGTTATTAGGACACTTAAATGTACACGGAACGATTGTCTTGTTCACTCCACATTGACCTGAAAGCAATTGTTACATAACTGTTATTATTTTCTGTGTAAATACGTCAAATCAATTGTCTTAAAGCGAAAAAACGTGGTCCGATGACGTATGTAACGCATATTGTTTGTTTGAATACGTGAATGTTCCTAAAAAACAGAAATTATGATGTTACAGTGTCACGGAACCCGAAAGCCCGAAATTTGTGTTTTTCACATCATTATCAATAAAATAAAATTGAAAGTTTGGAGAAAAATGTAAAAAAAAAAAAATGGTGGATGGGTGGTGTGGATCTTTGGCCATTTTTAACAAAATAACGATGTAAACTGTTAAATAGAATCTTAATCTTACAATCGACAAAGTCCTTAATATACTTAGTAAACATATTAGTATGTGACCATTACTTACTGCGGTTTTGAAGGGTAAGGGTGCTGGTGAAATTACAGGCACATGAGACTTGTCAACTTATATCTCAGGGTAGCCGCGGTGGCAGTGCCCTCAGATCTTAGCGAGTTAAAGTTCTAAGTGGCACTGCAACTGCTATGGACAGGCGTGTCGCTTACTTTACTTGGTAGTATAAAAAAGCCTTAAGTTATTTACAATGCCCGCAATTTATTCAACCGATAGTAGTGGTCTACTGGTCTACTAGGCAATGTGGACGAACTGAATGAGCTAGATGAAGAAAGCCTAAAGGAATTTGTATTAGCTATAATTGTTAATGTTAGAAATACAAAGAATTAACGAAGAAAATATTTCGAGCAAGGAAAGGGAGAATTTGTAGCTGTTACACTATAAACCCTTTTTCACCTCAAAATGCTTACCTGATTCATTGGTTGGAGGATTCGGTTCTACAATTATCCAAGGAGCTGTAAGAATATATATTTATTTTCATTAAGACATAGAAAAAATATTTAGTAAAATAAATGTTTTATTAAAAAAAGTAATCATAGTTTTAGCCTACTAAAGGGTAACCTGGACTGCACATCGCATCGCACGAACGTATCCGTGTTTGAGGAATTGCTGCCGTTTATCCTCCGTCTGTTTGCTCCGCATTCTACGATTCTTTAGCTACATAGAACGCAAAAGTGCTGACCATTTTGAAAAACTAATTGTTACGGGAAAAATAAAGTGCAAAAGGCCTAAACAACGAAGTTCGAAACGATGGTGTGACCAGGTAGCTGAAGACTGGCAGCACCGGTGAATATCACACTCCACCTAATCGAAGATAGGGTGGATTGGAACAGATTTATTGACGATGTACAGCCGATGCCCTAACATACCTAACCGCCTAGCCCACCGTTTAGTTCTGAGAACCTTCTTACGCATTCTACGGAAAAGTGTTTAAAAACTTCCAGCGTTATGGTTAAAATTTCTATTCTTCAATCAAATCAAATTGACTAAAAATATTCTTAAAACGTCATTCACTAATTTTACTTATTTATTTATTTTCAGGTTACAAAAGACCCATAAACACATACCTTATAGATTAACATACGTAATAATTTAACAAAAACTATTTATTTATTTATACGCGTAGACCACGAAGTGTGACGCAAGGTGGGTGTCCGATAGCCGTCCTCGGAAATGCCGGAACATGACACCCTTCGGCCAAAAGTCCTCCTTCATGAAGATCTACAGATGTTGAGTTGGTACTCTCGCCACAAATTAATTAAAATTCACCTTGTAGCGGGACTCCAACACTCGACCGCCAGGGCAGCTTTGGCTTTCACCCGTATGTACTCCACAATATCCGCAGACTTTGTGGAGTAATGAAGTCGTGACACGTATAGCAACGTCGTCGATACCGCTGGACGCAATAGATGGTTGGGGCCAGTCGGGGTGGTGTCACTAAGGTTACGGCTAGTGTACTTCTTTTTCTTTTCCACCTTTTTCAAGCCGTCCTCGTCGCACTGGTCTACTACTCTCGGTGGTACTGACGACACAGCTCCAGAGATGAGGTTCCGTTTTATCATCTAATGATACAATCTGTAGGGCTAGCACGATAAGGGGCGACTATCGCGAGAGCGCGAGAGCGACAGAAAGCACGAGATACTGCTGTTGTAGCATAGACATCTCGCGCTTTATGTCGCTCTCGCGCAAGTCGCGCTTGTTCGTGCTTGCCCTACTGGAAGTCATATCTAAATGAATTTTACGGATCACAGGTTAGAGGTTAAGTTTGTTGAACAATTTTCTTCACGCTTAGATAAATCTAGATACTCAGAACCTAATGATCGTATCCTAGGGCATTGACTGTACTTGATTAAAGTCACGATCCTCAGCAGTGAGGAAACGAGGGACGAAGGAAGGAAGAAAATAAATATAATGAGTAGAAGCAATCTTTAAAAAATACATACCCGGGGGACACTCTTTAATGGGTACGCAGATTTTACTAGCGTTTCTTAGATAGTTTTCTTTACAGTCGCACCCAGGTACACATGATTCACTTTCGTTTTTCGCCGCACATAAGTACTTCAAATATAAGGCTTCGCAGTCTTGAGGAGGACATCTTTGTGGACATGTGGCAGGGATTTCATTATAACCGCAGACTATAAAAAATGTGGTAAATAAAAACAACGATGATAACATAATAATATGTATTGGAAAGTTTTGTCCTTTTCAGTATGATCACAAATTTAAAGCTTTTTTGAAAAGAAAGAATATCACTCACCTGGCTCTTTAATTGGTGGCTCCGTAACCGGTGTGGCTGAAAAGTATATTTAGTACTTACTATAAATAATACACTTCGTTTTTTTATAATATCAAGTGACGGAACGACCAAGTCGTGCGCCTGGTGATAAGCTACACGCCTGTTCATAACAGGTGCAGTGTCATGCAGAGCTTTAATTGCAAAGATCTGAGGGGCACTGCCACTGCGCCCGTCACTCTCAGACATAAGTTGACAAGTCCCGTGTGCCTGTAATTTCACCAGCACCAAGTAGGTAAGGTGGCACTACTTCCCTGGACGAACTCTTTCACACGGAGCTCTACTGCAGATGATATTTTAAATTGAACATTTTAATTTTATAAATTCTGTTTATTCATTGCAATCTATTGAATTCAGCTTTATCCAAAAGATCCAAATATATATTAATAAACATAATAAAGCAAAGATAAGAAAGGATTAGAATGACTCGAACCAAGCAATACTAGTTTGTAATGAACCAGTTGAACGAAAAAAAATCGTACTATTGGCATAACAAAGCCAAATGTGACAATACGTCAAAAGTGCCTTTATTACAAGTCACAAAGTAATACGAATAATATGAAACAAATTATATACGTACATGTGAAATTACATAACTCTCCTATTTAGGCATAAAAAAGTAACCAACAAATTTTCATTAGTACTCGTAGAATAATTCAAACCTCTCTTCTAAAAAGTTGACTTTTGCACATGTAGCCTTATTATGTCAAGAGTACGAAATACAATTATTAATGTAATATAATACATTCTCCATAGTAGAAGGTAATGGAATAATAATAACAATAATAATCATAAATTGTGATATTGGATCTATACTGATATTTTGATATCGGATCGATCGCAATCGATGGTATTTCTTGTGGACGTTACCATCCCGCATGACGAAAGTCTCTCGTCTCGTGAAAAACGAAACCGAGAAACGTCGGAAGTATCTGGATCACCGACACCGGCATGAGGGATGTGGCCTCCACAGAAATAATCCAAATTGTTTTGTCCGCAAACGGGTTAATTCCAGTCAGCTTCGCTAGCAGCTTGAGGCGGTTGGATTTCTGTGGTGTGTCGCTTCTAGCACAAATGCAGAAGGCGGTCTTGGTCATGTATTGTACGCCGGTTCTTGAACCTGAGTCCCTTACAACGGCCGACTGTGCCAATGCCGGGGAATACCGCCTCTCCCATTTAACACACGGACACACTCATAGCCCCGTACTAAGGAAACTCTGCATCGCGAGTGCCATGGCCACACAAAAGGTAGATATCCACAAACACACCCAACTCACGAGATAAATAAATGTAAGCCTTACAAAGATTTAGTTTGGCCCGGGAATCTAATCCGGGACAGAGGCAGTTTTGTTTTGTTTGTTTAAAATATAAGCAAAATTGCATCTATTAAACAATACTTACAACATTCTTTTGCGAGTACACAAACTTGATTATCGTTTCTGAAGTATCCCTTTGCGCATATGCATCTCGGTTGGCAGTTGTGTACTAAATCGTTGCAAGTAGTCGGCTGGTTATTAACATCACTACAGGACTCGGCAAGACAACTTGATGGGCAGGAGCTCCAGATCTCGTTGGGTCTTGTGCAATTTACAGGAGCTAAAATATAGAATTAATCTATGGTTGAGAAGAGGTATGGTTGATTTATTATTTGTTTAGTTTAAAACGAGATATGAACCTTTGACAACTTAATTTTTCAACAATAAAGACTCACGGCATTCCTCAGCTAAAATGCAGGTTTTGTCTTCTCTGCTCTTTCTTCTGTAACCCAGATTGCAGACACAACC